ATACAGTGGTCCGTAACAAGACAGCTGCTATAGTTTTTTGCAAGACTGAAGAACACGTCCCAAACATGACTCGAATCCTAAATGTTCTCGTAGAAGCAAGGTACACAGAGCCTTCACGTGACTTTAGCTCTGAATCCATTGCGCCCCCGGAGAGATTAATGAAAGCTGAGCACAATCTCCTTAACCTTTGCATTGCATTAATGTCGCATCTACACGTCAGAGCAATGTACTGTTCGAGGACAGAGTACAAGATTGCAAGGTGTCATGAAGCCTCTTTCTTGCACGAGGAAGCATGCTGCACACAATTGCAAAGTTGTACCACTTTCACTGCCAGAGTGGATGAGTCAGGGGTCGTACTTCGCCGCAGCGTCTCCTTCCATCAGTGGAGTGGTCCCATACCATGAGTGAATCCAGTTGGCGAATGCATTGTCATGTCTTGTCATCTCCTCTCTTGCCTCTGATCTCTCACCATCTCTTTCCTTCTCGTTGCGGCATCGTTTCTATCTGAAGACAAGTTGTACAAGGAAGCCCTATCTAGAGCAATTTCACGGGATCATCTTGTCCTTTAAAGCGCGATGTGACACAAATTCACATTTAAGACGCTGCCGCCCACAAGTCACTGTCGCGGATTCCATTCAAGGTCCCATGCATGAGTTGGAAATCGGACGATGAAAAAGATAATTGCGATCCGCATATCATGACTGAGAAAGCATTCGTTTAAGTAGTGAGTGCAGTTTGTGAAAAGTGAAACTTTTCACAGTGGTGACCTTCTGCGATGCGCCATGACATGCCAATTCTGAATACATGGTTATACGATAGAAGCCTACGAGCAGTGTAAAAAACGCTGATGGATCTCATAAAGAAAATTCGTAGACTTGCGCAATCACCAGGCAAACATAGCTGTCACCGGGAGATGTCTGGACATCCGCATAAAACAGGACATCAGCAAGTTCATACAGACTTAATACCTGAAAATCCACCACTAACTAATTTTTGTAGCGAAGGTGTTAGCCGGTCGGGCTTCAAACTGTTCCTTCGGTAAAATTTCCACTACGAAGGGACATCCAGGCCACTCAAATGCATGATCTGCGATTACAATTGTGTGGAACTAGGAAAGCAAGTATGAGCGCATGCTGTTGCTTCCCAAGAACTCAGCTTTTTATGCCTTTCTAGTAGAAAGGACCATTGGTTGAAGACGCTTAAAATTGAGAACCAGAAAGGCATGATTATTCGAAGGCACTTAGGCACTTACAGAGCGAGACACCGCTAAGCCACGGCGCCGCTTGCCGTAGCAGAGTCACCGCGTCTTATGCAACAATATTGCGGTTACAGCAAACTCTGACCTCGCATAACCCGTCTGAGATGTCCCCATAACACTGTTATATTTCGCATACTCGCTGCCACCATTCAAGAAACTATCGATGTATTTGGGTTCCTTTTCAAAGTTCCATGGAAAGTTGAACCGATTACTTGTTAGCCTTCAGTTCACAAGAGTTTCTGTGGCTTCTATTATTCATTTAAACTCAGAAAATGAAGACTGTTTGAAAGGCTTTTTTGCCGAATTGACATTCCATCATATTTAGTCACTCAAAGATCAATAGAAATCATAGAAAATAACTCAACAGGAAATCAGTACTCAAAAAGTATGCGCGCTTTATTTCATAGGGCAAAAACTCTCTATCAACCACTACAGAAACCGGTGGCACAACGTCTCTTTAACCCAAAATTTTGTTATCACAAGAGTTCGCGTTCCGAATGTTATCACAAGAATGCTGAGTTATGGGCAAAAGTCGTACCCCAGGCGGGAGTCGAACCCGCACCTCACGCTTTCCGGGCGAGTGCGCTATCCGTTAGCCTTACAGCACTCACAGGTTTAACTTGGTGAGCCACGGCATAAAAGCCGTTAAGCTGAGAGGGTAAAAGCGGCTCTGGTGCTCATAACTCAGCATTCTTGTGATAACATTCAGAACGCAAACTGCAGCGCTAAACAGCAGTTATCATAACAAAACAGCTTTTGTGTTAAAAACTTATTATTCTCAGCCAACCCAGTGCTTTATATCCTAAGCTCTTGACGAATAGCGGGTAGCACTCAGAGGAATGCATTAGCTAGAACAATAGCATATCTAGGAAAACCTGCAAGTATCGCTCTTCGTAATACTTGTGGAGAAAAATATCTGCCGTTTATTCTCTCGAATGCTTCTGTCGCGGCTAAGAAGTTACGATATTACCGTGATCGTTATTGGTTCGGTGTGATCTGCAGGACGATGTTAGGATTGTGGAAATACCTCCCCCCTGTAATCTTAAACAACAGCTGGTTCGCAACCGATCCTACGATACCTTATGTGGCACTCCTGACTGTGTGATCTGCCCCTTTGGCAAACCGGGTGACTGCATGAAGTCCGCAGTTATCTATTCGATACACTGCCAGAGCTGTGGATGCGAATATATAGGAGAGACAGGCCGTCCCCTTCGAGTACGGGTCAAGGAACATCTGGAGGGTCTTAGGAGGTCACAAGCCCACACACCGCTAGGGGTTCACCGTAGTCAACACCATGGAGGCACGTCATTCGACGTAGCAGTGACCATCTTAGCGCAGGAAGTCGAGATCACGGCGCGCAAGACACTGGAGGCTTTTTGGATCACGGCCAAGGACCCACAAATGAATCGCAAGGAAGAGTGTGTGGTCATAACGCGTGAGCTCGCAGCCTTTCTCGACCTCTGCAAGTTTTGACCTACCGAGAGGTCGAGGGAGGTTACCAGTAATTCTTACTCCACGCTTGAGCCTCTACAGGGTGGTCGTCCCTGCGTCACGCGTCCAAGATCAAGGTAAGCCAGCGCTAGATCGATACCGTTGGGTGATTTACTGGTATGTGGAAATCGTCTTGAGTATTGTTGAAATGTTTGAGCGAGCAGGTCTCGAAATGTTTTTTGACCATTTCAGGCTCTGACGAAGGCGAAGACGCCGAAACGTAGGCCTTCAATAAAGTTGCTCAATCTTGGAAAGGCTAGAAGAAATACAAGAACTATATACATCATGCCAAGATTGCAAGAAAGTCGAACATGAACTAAACTTGATCTCGCTCAGAGGTTCCTCCATGCCATATATCGCAATGATCGTGGCTACTTCATCACTCCATCAAGCATCTCTCAAGATAAGTTTCGATGCAGTAACGTACAGTCCTCATCATTGCGGACCGGTGGGGCGTGTCAGTGCGGCTCCGTCTTCCGCGGTGATGAAGTCGTTCTGCACCAGTTGTTGAAGCGGGCAAGTGACATTACTGTATTATATCCTTCGTATTACTCGTTTTCTACCACTTTTTGTCGCATACGCGTTTCAACAAAAAGGCTGAGAACGGCTTCAACAGTGTGCGCACTCCTACTGGCTGACACGCCCCACCGGTCCGCAATGATGAGGACTGTAAGTTCGAGTAATGCTCAAAACGGAATGACTACTTTTCACAATACCTCACATCTCACCGTATCTCGAAACAAAAACGCCACCTGTGCATTATGAGCGAATTTTCGCCTTCGTTTTTGTTAGCTACTGGAATATTATAGCCCTATTTCATCAGTATGGGAATTGTACGCCAGCACACTTTACAAACAGTGAGGAGTTGGCATCATCATTCTCCAACCAAGTTGCTTCATCAGAGTCTCTCTCTTCCTCTTACAGGAAGTACAGGCAATTTAACCACACGTTTGATCTTCCTACAACCAACTGAAGTATCCCCCAGCCAAGCGGTGTCAGGCGCCAGTTTGACAGGTTTATATCAGTACCTCGCTTCCGTGCACAGCGAAACATACACGAAGGCGTCCAGTGAGTCTTTATGAATTCTCCTCCGCCAAAGAAGATGTCGTATAAGTCCCTTGATGCGCTCAATCGCCCAATGAGAAAATTTCATTGACTTCAACTACATCACATTGAGCAGTTTTGCCTATTTCAGGAGCATTACTAATTTTCAGATTTTGTATATTATGGTTGGAAAATCTGGGTGACTATGAAAGATCATTCCGCAAAATGTTTGGCCCTTAGAGGTCCGAAGGGAAGCAAGGCGTACTCGAAAAAAAATTGAACCTAAACGAGGTTCTACGGAAATAGAATGAAGAAACTTTATGAAATGGTTGTAAAACAAGTGAGGTGATATTTTCATGTGGTTTGACTGAGACTACGACTAATCCACTTAAGAGACAACGAAGACAAACGGCTCAGATCTAGTAATCAGCATGAACGCCAAATCCACTTACGGTATGAAGCACGATTACAACACCATTATGCAGTTCGGTACAAGCACGTATATTTGTTAACAGTGTTTTAGACCGTTTTACATTATTGTTTTAAATTCATTAACATTGTTATGCGATCACATCATCTTCAGAACCTAGAACAAGGTTTCCCGGTTTTCTTTTTTTTTCGTTTCTCCGTTGTTCAAATTTAGTGTGCAAGTGTTCAGAAGTCAAGAGAAATCAGCTAAGAGGGAACTTTTGAACGATTCATGAGTTCAGCTATGAAAAAAAACAGAAAGAATTTCGTCTAGGAATGGAGGACCCGTTGAATTCACCGAGAAAACAAATATATCCCTCAGTTTGAATCCGCCCAAACTGGACTCTAAAGTCGCACGTTTGACGTTTCTAGCCGCCGAAGAAGGGAAAAAAGACCAATCGGGAATCCTCTTGATATCAACCTGAGCGGGAAAACAAGAAAAGAACGAAGAAAGTAACGAAAAAAAGAAAGTCCTGAAAGAATTGTGTTGTCTAAGTGAAGCCATGTGGAGAACAAAGAAAAAGAAACATAGAGAAAACATGCGTGGTTCCGAACAACGAGAACGGTGAGAACAATAGGAGAAGCAAAAAGAGACTTACCTCAAATAGAACTCTTATATGATTCATTGGTACCACTCAACCATCACTACCCGAGAAACTCATCAGAATTTTCTGCTGATTCTTTGCCCATTAAAGTAATTTGGTGCCCTGACCACGAATATTACATTAGTTTTTAGTGCGGGAACCATTCGACGCCAATTTGTGCCGCCACCTTTTTCACCAGGTTCGGTGAGAACTGCCATTCTTTAGTGCCCTGACCACGAAAATCGCATTAGTTTTTTGAGCACTGGTGCCGCTTTGACGCGACCACCAGTTTTTTCACCGGAATCGGTGTAAAATTATTCGGTGTCCTGATCACAGGTGTGACAACCATTTGGCAGGAGATCGCTAACCGCCCGCGTTGCAGACGACGGCACCACATGCCTGTTCCGATATCGGTGCGTGCAGAGCGGACTCCTGGCTGTTTCGTGTTAAGCGGTGAGCTAGTGCAAAGAGGAACGCCAGACATACAACCGAGACAGCATCCATTCTGGCTGCATGCGATAGTGATCACTCTTTTCTAAACACAGCCTTAGCAGATGGGATCACTATCTCCGGCGAATAGTGCGGACAAGCGCAGCAGGCTGCGCTGTCACGTGTACCACATTTCCTCTATCCTTAACTCCACTGGCACCAGATGTGATATATTGTTGCCTGGAAATCAAGCTACTCCTGAATACAAGTTTTCAGTGAATTCAGTGAGCGATCCAGAGTATTTTGGTGCTGGCGCTATGGCGCGGGCACCAGGCGATTTTCGGCCGCGCGGATGTGATAACCATGCTTGGAAGATCAACCTACTCCTCTCACAAATCCAATCCGCTGCCTCAGCGTGGCGTGAGAGGGTGGACTACAGTCGGCTAATGCGTAGGGTGCCTACAGAGGATAGAAGAACTGCAGAGCTTCACTCTAGATGATCTTTCAAATCCTGCGCAATCATGATCGATGGATTTTTCAAGTATCCTGATCAGAGCAGGGCACAGCATTAGTTGGGGATTTCGGTCGAACCCGTACGACCCCCCCCCTTTTTTTTTTGGGGGGGGGGGGTTTAGTACGACCCCTCCCCCTTTTTTTTCTTACTGTTTGTTTTTCTTTTCGAGCTCGAGCTAGGCACTAGAGCTATATGGCGGCTCTAGGTTGTAAAGGCATAAAGTGATTCCACTCAAAGTTTGGAGGAATACCTGTCAACTTTTGTGACGCAATGAATACCAGGATGTGAAGTAGCGAATGTGCTGATCCCCCCACCCTACAAAGCCTAAGGCCATGAAGCAATGCGGAATCCGAGGAAATGATGGAAGGCGTAATATACACATCAATTTGAAGAAATGCAGAAATGCGGAAAATGCAGAAGTGCGGAAAATGCAAATGACGAAAAGCATTACAATTTCCAATTTTTCAGCAATTCGCCATTTCTGCATTTTCCGCATTTCTGCATTTCTTCACCGTCGCAAGCTATGAACGCGGCCTAAATGATGTAGCATAACATAACGCAACCGAAAGCAGAAATAGCATAACATAACAGAAAAACAGACAGCATAACAAAAAAAAAAGAAATGGAGCTATACCAGCCGATCAGCTGGAAAATGGTGAGGAATCGATTGGAAGGGATTCTGGGCAGGACCAGCCGTGCAAGGTGGTTGCAAGGTGGTTGGATTGGAGCGCGAGTTTTCAGGAAAACAGGGTGTCTTTGAAGGGCCATAACTTCCTCAAAAGCGGACCTGTGGGAAAGAGGAGACCGCAGTCGTGTAGAGGAAGGTTTGAGCTTCCTAAAAGTACTGAAATGTTTATGAAGGTCGCCAAATTCATAGAGAAATTCAGCGTTGGGGATTTATTGGGGAGTGCATTTTTGGATAGTTTGCAGTGCGAATTGTACAGGTTTGAACCAAGATATTTCCCTTGAACCTCAATAGTTTGGAAATCTGAAACCAGTGTCGAATTCTAGAAGATTTTCTCTTTCCAAAAACTACTTAAACTGTTTCTGAAGTTTCCGGGATTCATGAGATAATTGCGTTGGGGATTTTTTGGGGAACACTCCGAACTGTTCGAAAGTCCGTTTTCTGTGTACGGTTTCAAGCGAGCGTGTTCGAATAGCCAGAAATACATGTAGAACGTATCCTGTGGTGGAGCAGGAGCAGGATGTGGTTTGTTTAGCGCCAATCATGCTAACTTTGGATGCGCCGCGCATTGAGGTCCGCGCAGAGGTGATGGGATGGTGCAATTTGAGCGTAATGTCTGTCCACGCGAGCAAATGTGTCTATAGGATTCAGGGAGGTCCATGGCGAACCTGTGCACTTGTTTACAGTGTTTTCCGTTGCGTATGATGGAGCGTGTCCCTGTCGACGCTGCCAGATTCGTGCTCCGCCAATCGCTGACTCCGATAAAGGAGACCAACTGCTGGAAAACGTCTGATACGAACGATATGGTAGTCCTGTCGCTTGTCGAAAAAAAACAGGTTGGCTCAGCGCCAAGCGCGATCGCGGACACGCCCCATCATCCGCAGCGAACCAGAGTAGAGTATGTTTAGTCACTTACGAGATGATGTCGACTTATTAATATTTCCAGTTATTTCGGATTAGTTTGATGAATGAAAGTTTTGTACTATTTTTTACATATCCGAGTTCTCTACAAAGCAAGTTTCGCTGTACAGGACTCAGCACACTGACACCTTTGCGCTGCTCGTTACTGGCTACCGCACTCATTACGACCCACCTCCCTCTCCTGGCAGCCAAATACGACCCCCCCCCTGTTGGGATTTCCCCAACCAACGATGTGCCCTGGATCAGAGTTGGGTTGCCCACCGTAATGGGCGAAACCAGGGGGTCAACAGTAATGGACACACGAGAAAGCCCACCGTAAAGAACAAATCCGAGACCATTAAGATCGCTGCACACAACATTGGCACCCTTCTCACCGCCGCTCACAGCCGACCGGACGTGCTGAGGAAAGGAAAGCATAGCCATAACGTGCACCCCAAGAAGCGAAAAGGCCGCAGCAAGACGAGAAAGAAGTCAAAAGAGCAACCCATCATTACGCCTGCCTCTACAACGGCGAGGGAGCCTGCCCCCAGAGCTAATATGACACATATCTGGAGCAACGTAAGACCGACGTAAACATCTAACTGCTTCTATTGACGAAAACTCGTAGCTCCAATGGTTTAGAATTACAACCGAGCTACAGATATTCCGTCAATAGAAGCGTAGATGTACGCTCAGGTAAACTGATGGACAACAGTAGGCGCAAGCTAACAACACAGCTAGAAGGCATAAAAAGACGGTTACTGTCAGCAAAGAAGGATGAAAGGATGTAGAATGCCAACTTCTAAAAGTGGTGAGCGTAAAACCCAGCAATCGAAACTACATTTCTGTCGCGAAAGAAAACCCCAGCGAAGCGATATGCTAAACAGTAAGATGATCGCTTCGATAACGGGCAATAGTCAACACCGTCTGGTCAAGGAATTATTGAAATGCCTACCAAGTCAACGCCGCTTCCCGCCGCTAATTCAATTGGACGCGCCGTAAGGCACTCTGAAAAGAAAAAATTTCAGCTTCCCTCATGTTCAGCTACGCATATGCGTCTCCTCAACAAGCAATTTTAGGCACTGCTCAAATTTCATTGTGACCATGTTTGAGAATAATTACCAAAAGTAAATTCAAGCAGGCAAGTGATATGCAGATGCAGTACTCCTGTGCTCATCTGCATGTGATCCCAAATACGAAATAATACTAAAAATACTCGCTGATTTTTGTAGCCCGTCATCAAGTCGTAAAAGGTAAACACATGCAAAAGATCTGCTCTGGGTGTACAGTTGATAACGTCGTAATCGTACGGGGCGGTGTCAGGAGAAGCGGAAAGAGGCCGCTCCTGCTGCCTTGCTCTACCAGTGATCAGTTACTGGTTGACCGGGGAAGAAAAGAAGCCAGGCTGAAAACGGCGGTGGAGGGTAGGCTCAGTCTATTCCCATTGGAACCAGGATTCAGATCTGTAGCGATATGCAGCTGTAGTCGGAGGAAAACTCATTGCATTGGGCATCCTAATAGCGATGATCAGCATAAACATGTCGCGCATGGCGCGGTCAAAGTAAGTGGTGCGATCAAAGTGTGAACTCAATGTAGGATCGTAGCAGGGCGATCACAGGAAGGATCAGCCGCTCCAACGCCAGTGATCGGTGACCGCTCCAACAATCTGTTTAATTAAACTACCGATTTTTACAGTGCTAACATGAAGGCTAGTTCCCTAGAATGACCTCGAGCGATCAGAACTTTTTACAAAAGCGAATTCGCGCTGAGTCAGAGAGAAGATTCGCTGGAATCGGCCAAGAAAATCAGAAATGTACGTCCAGTTAACTAAATCTGATAAAAAGCAAAGAAAATGCAGTGCAGAAAACGCTCGGGAAACAGCTTCCTTTACGGGCTTCCTTAACGAGAAGACACAAAAAATCGCACGTGGGATCTAAATAGTTAGACGACAAAGATCAAGAAAGGGCGAGAAAGAAGCATGCATCGAGTAAACACCATCACAAAAAACTACCAACGTGGCGAGGTTATGTTTTGTTGTGGGAGTCACTTGTAAGAACCCTTCGCCTTACGTGCAACTACCTCTCACATTTGCTATGGAAACGAAACTTGTACAGGGGTTACGGCTTTCACTATCTTCTCCATCAGAGAGCTCAGATACTTATAGGGATCCTGTTCCATGCCTTAAGACTAAGGAAAGCTGAAATAAGTTTATCTCATCGTTCAAGGCAAACCCGCGAAAGTGGATAGTAATGTTCAATTACAAACCTATAAGTCACTAATAATGTCTCTGGCAACAGGTAGATGGAGAGCAGAATAAAAACAACAAATCAATAAGCTTCACCCCAACGTGAGGAGCTGCCCCAACTCTAATGGACGAAAGTTGTGTGACACTGCCGCTTTGATGTCACTAAGTGATATTTCTCCGATCTCTGGCTTGCACTAACTTTCTTTGCGCGTCGCCCAGTGCCAATACGAAAAAAAGAAGCGTGTGTAGATATTTGAACTTCAAAGACAGAAATAAGCGTTTTGAGTTTTGCAGTGCGCGAGTCAGCTAGAGAGGCGTCTGAATTGTCTGTTGAGAAGGCTACAGCGCCTTTGTTTCTTGCTGTAAAGCCGTGAAAGTTGGATAATCTCAAGGACTGTGGACCAGACTACTTGCAATAGAAGACGCCAGGAGTGTAGCAGGACCTCATCTCGCCGGAGCGTTCGAAACGAGTCCGCCCGCGCTGCGCGAGAGTGGGCCATTGGCAGCAGAATTCGAAAATGGGGATTGGTCGACGCTTTACGAACGCCCCCCCCTTTTCAAAGGCTGGCATACGAACCCCCCCCATGCTCGGACGATGCTAGACAAATGGCATGACTGTGTTGCGGTTATAAGCAACTCAGCTGAAAAAGTTGTTCGAGCGGGTAGTAAGTAGGCATGCGACGACCTACATCGACGGGCGTACAGTAGCGCTGTCAAAACCGTTTCTACTACGCGCGACTTATATCGGTCCCATTGAGAAAGCGCAACGAGACATAGAAATATGAACCCTGTGAGAACCTGAGGCAAGACAACCCTATCCTTACAACTAATGGTCCACATCAATACTTATCTGTCAGACTAACCTCTGCTTTTCATGCTGGCCGTAGTTCATTTTCACTACATCAATTTATCATGAATTTGCAGAGAGGCGGAGTTACGGCACTCCACGGCGAGACACGGGAACGAGGCAGTGCTTCACTTATTTGCCACAGCTTTTCGGCCATTAGTGACAGCCTGCACTACAGCAACCCATCCCATGTACTACCCGCATGCAACATACGACCCCTTCGTCGCGCGTTCCGCGGAGCACTGACCCTGACTCCTCACCCCTGCCTCCCTTCAGTCACGTTTGCACTTGATAGACATTTTGACCAGGAAACAACCACCATTAAGCACGCTATAACAACCAGGATCCGTTGACTTGAGAGTGGCAACTCTACTAGCAAAGGGTCTGGAGTAAAAGCGCCAGTGATTAAGCCAATTAAAAACAAGCTTGAAACAAAATTGAATCTTCACTATCTCCTTCGGCACAATCACAGCCATCTTATTTGCCTTTGCTTAATTACGATTAGCGAGTATCCACACCGTAAAACATGAAATCAGACGTGGATACGTTTTTTAAAAAGCGGCAATATAACCGCAATTGCACGCGTGATGGTGGTATTTAAAAAATATCATCTGCCGTCTAAACGAAGCCAGAACCCGTCTTAGAATAACTTTCCCAGCGCAGCACACTGTTATTGAATACGGCCCGACCGAGGTGCCGGGAAGGGAATTCTGTGCAGGACCAACCGTGGGAAACAAATTTTCGGCAAGTAGGGTGTCTTTGAAGGACCATAACTTCCTCAAAAGCAGACCTATGGAAGGGGAAAGCGTATTCTTCTGTAGAAGGAAGGTTTGATCTTCCTAAAAAAGTGCTTATCTAAATCATTCAAGAAGAAGTCGCAAAAATCACAGAGAAATTGCCTTGGGGATTCGTTGGGGATTTTTTTTGGAAACAGGTTTGAATCAATATATTTTTTTGTAACTCAATATTTCACAAATCTGAGAACGGATTCGAGTGTATGAAGACTGCCCGTTCAACCAAAGCGGCTATTGAAACTGTTTTGAGTCCTCGGGATTCATGAGATCTGGCGTTGGGGATTTGTTGGGGAGTACTACGAGCTCGTGAAAAACCCGTTTCCTGTGTACCGTTTCAAGCTGAACGTGTTCGAATGAAACCAGGGAACGGCAGTAAACGTATTACTGTGGTGGAGCAGGAGCAGAATATGGTTCGTTCAGAGCTGATCACGCCAACTCTGGATGCGCCGCGCACTGAGTCCGCGCAGAAGTGATGGGATGTGCAACTTGTTGCAAATGTTGTCCACCGCTGAGATGCAAATGTTCTGTAGGATCAGGGAGGTCCATCGAACCTGTGCACCTTGTCTACACTGTTTTCCCCTTGCGGATGATAGTAGCGTTGATCGATGTCGACTGGACCCCAGATCTGTGCTCCGATAGTTGCTGATTCCGATAAAGGAGACCAAGTGCTGGAAAACGTCTGATACGAGCGATACGGTAGTCCTGTCATCTGTCGAAAAAAGCAGGTTGGCTCAGCGCCAAGCGCGATCGCGGTCGCGCCCCACGACAAACAAATCCCGCAGCGAACCAGAGTATGAGTTGTACTGTTTAGTCACTTACGAGATGATGTCAACTTGTTAATATTTTCAGTTATTTCTTAGTTTGATGAATGAGAGTTTTGTACTATTTTTTTACATATCCGAGTTCTCTACGAAGCAAGTTTCGCACAGGATTCAGCACACTGACACCTTTGCGCTGCTCGATACTGGCTACCGCACTCATTACGACCCCCGTATGGATCCCCCCCCGCTCCTGCGGACCAAAATACGACCCCCCCCCCCTATGGGGATTCCCCAACCAATGCTGTGCCCTGAAGTGGGCTACCGCGCGTGGCGATTACATGCAACATGTTTGTGAGTTTAACATGTTTACCTGTTTGGACATGTTCTTTGGCAGATGGAATGAGACAAAAAATAATACGAAAGGCGATAAGATCAAGATCCGATCGGAAGTTGTCAACAATGCCAGTCAGGACCTCACCCGCCTAGGGCACGTCCGTTGGTTGGGGAAATCCCCAAAACAGGGGGGGGTGGGTGGCCGTAATGAGCCGCGGTACGCAGGGAACGAGTCGACAGTTGTGCTGAAGTAACGACAGCGAAGCTTGCTTTGTAAGAACTCGGATATAAAAAATAGTAAACAAAACTTTCATTCTATCAAACTAATCAAATCTGAAAATAACTGGAAATAGTTAAAAGATCGACATCATTCGCAAGTGTGCGAACTCATACCTGGTCGGCTGTGGAGTCGAGGGGCGGTCCGCGATCTGCGCTTGGCGCTGAGCACAACCTGTTTTTTTCGACAGAAAATCGAATCAGGAGCACCATATCGGTTCGTATCAACTATTTTCCAGGCAGTTGGTCTCTTCAAATCGAATCAGCAATTGGCGAAGCACGGAATCTTGCCGCGGGTCGGACGAGGGACACACTCCAATCAACGCAACGGAAAATATTCTGTATAACAAGTGCACAGGTTCGCCATGGACATCTTTGAATCCTATAGACTCATTTGCTCGCGTGGACAGACATTACGCTTAAATTGCACCATCCCATCACCTCTGCGCGGACCTCTCAATGTGCGGCGCCAATCCAAAGATTACATCGATGCGCTAGGAACAAACCACATCCTGCCCACCACAGGCAAACGTTCTACAGGTATTTCAGCCTATTTCGAAACACGCTGCTTGCAACCATATCACGAGAAAAAGACGACCTTTCAAAACAGTTTGGAGTGTCCCAACTAAATCCCCAACGCAAATTATCTCATGAATCCGGAGACTTCAGAAATAGCTTAAGTAGTTTTTGGGAAGAGGAAATCTTCCAGGTCGATACTGGTTTCAGATCCAAACTACGAGTCAAGGGGAAATATCTCGGTACAAACGTGAAAAAGTCGCGACTGCTAACTATGCCAAAAAATTGAAACATCGCTAAATACTCCCAACGCAAATTTCCACCGATGAAAATCGGCGATCTTTTAAGTCAATATGTTTTGGAAAGATAAAACCTTACTCGATACTATTGCGTTCTTCATTTTCCCAAAGGTCCGCTATTACGGAAGTTATGGTTCTTTAAAGACACTCCACTTTCCTGAAAATCCGCGCCCCAATTCAAACCAACACTGCGACCCGACTTGAGCGGCTCCCCCCCTGGAGGTGCCTGGCCAGAATCCCCTACTACCGGTAACCTACGGCCTTTAATACAGCTGACTGCGCACGGTTTGGCTCCGCCGTTCGTATTTACTGCTTTCGTGTTAGCTGCCTCCTGGAAGTTTGAAATATCGAATATTTATCTTCTTCTCGGTTTACTCGAATATCGAATATTTATCTTCTTATCAGTTTACTCGAATACGCGTCAGAGCGCGCCCCAGCAATTTTGCTTGGACCGCTCAGAGTGCTTTTAGGAGAAGTTGGCTTAATTTCCTGTTTTTTCTTTTAATTGCAATGATTCAAGGTACCAGAGTTTGTTTTGACTCGAGGAAAAGGTGGGTAAAACCTAATGGCCTTTCTTTCTATTCTCTTTCTGAATCAGGATAGAAATGAGCAAAAAACGAGGGGGCCTCGTTCATGAACTGTACATTTTCTATTTGTCGCGGCATACTAACATAAAACTTATGAAGTTCTCCTCCTCGGGGGAGAGTCGTACGGGCTCCACCAAAATCCCCAACCAATGATGTGCCCTGTCACCGCCGCGCCACGCGATGTCGCCAAGCGCGGTGACCTATTCGAGCGCGGCGGTGTAACTTCCTGGCTGCTCTTCCCAGGAGCGCCAAGTGAAATTGCCTGAGCAACATGGAAACTGTCGTTACGAGAACTGATTTGTGTTTGATTCGCATTGTGACAAGTCACCAGTCAAAACCTGTTCACAGATCCCAGAAAACAAACAACAATTAAACAAATGGAGGCTAAGTAAGTGGAAGCTGTCCACTCAGTAGTTGAAGTGGTCCATCGAGCGCGCGCTCTGCCGTAAATCTGTAACGATCACGACAATCGAAGTGAAAAAAAAAAATCGATGTTGTGGTGAAGTGTAAACCCTGTTACACACCTGTAAGTGGGCTTTACTGTTCAGTAGAAAGAAGAACTGGATTCTCTTCACATGAACTGTGTACTACCTGAAATAGAAGAGTAAGGAAAAAATGAGCGCTGAATCAGGTAACAATAGCTATTGATAATTTAGCTCGTATGAATCGAAGTCTCAGATTATCGTCGCATATTCAGTCATCTCTTCTCGCTAGCGCCCTTGTCATGATAAAATAAAGGACATTTTTGAATAGGGGAGCTTAGTGTCTTGTGTGCTGCGGATGAAGAGGCGTGTCGGGCGGGAAGGGTTTGGCTCGGGGCCAAACTCGTTCTCCATCGCTTGCTGAAGTGGATAAGCGACAACAATTGGTGAAAAACGACTGATACGAATGATATGATACAGTATGTCGACTGCTCACTTCAATAACTGACGGAAAACGGATTTGACGCTGCGCCAAATCCATCCGACCTAGCGCGCCCCTTCATCCGCAGCGAACAAGACTGTACGTGGGCACGGCGAAAGAAAAATGAGACCAGGTATTCCGATTAACGTGACTCGTCCTCAATCCAGAGATTCCGGAAAAAACCCCAGTTCGAACTATGTCACAGGTAAAAGCTTACGTTCCGCCACGTTTATCTGGGTCGCCTGACGCCTCGCGCTCTACGGCGATTTCTTGACCCAACCAAACAGCCGGATTAAAATTGAATGTGGAGTTGCTTTTTTGAAGGTGTCGCCATCCCACCTCGGATTTTTCCTTCTCTCTGACCTCGTTGCTAATTTCTTTTCCTATTGTGTGAGTTGCAGTTGTTACAACATCAACATAACTGTGGGCTACCAATGTGAAAAGTTCGTCCTGCAAGTGGTAACGAATATCGCTACATCGCTTGCTTGAACCTCAGCAGTGTAATAAGCAAAGTTTTTACATTAAAAATGTGGGCTTTCCGTGGCTTATAGGAATTTTGGAATTTGCAAACGTTTTACTGCACTCAAAAATATTTCGATGATTATCACATCTTTACTGTTAAAATTTCATCGAGAAAAGAACCTACATTTCACACTTACCGCCATGCTTTTTTACTTATAGTATCCAAAAGCGGTCAAGTACCCCAATTGTATAGAACTTTGTGTGTTGCTGTTTTTTCGGTAAAACCCTTATAAACCCTGGTTCGTCTCCCTTTACTCCTACGAAGCTGTGGTGATGCTTCTGAACGCAACTATCTTTGGAGTATTGTGCTGTCTTTATTTTATCTGAATGTTTGGTTACAATGTGAAACTCCAAATAAGGCCTCTGCAGTCACGGAACTCCATTCCGTGACTGCAGAGGCCTCCTAACGGGTTTTTAAATAACATTTGGAGTTTCCCATTGTTACCACACATTAGACAGTTATTTTTGTATTTGGCTTTTAGGTTGCGTTCATAGTTTGCGACTAGGCGTTTAAGAGCAAACGAAAGTGGAGGTATCGATTTGGCGTTAGGGTAAGATAGGTATCGATCGGCTCCGGTTGGAAGCATTTTCTGGGAATCGTTTGGCGCGCCGCTCGATATCTACACTTCTTTTTTAACTCGACGCGCTCGTACTCGCAGAACACCTAGTCGTAATTTATGTAGGCAGCCTCAGGGAAACAGTTTGTTACAGGTGACTCTCCGCTCAGAAACCACACCGATTTCAGGTCTATCCGAACAAGCCAGCGGTGAGCCATAAAACTCCACCTCGTTCTTCACTGACCCTTATTTTTTGCCCGTTATGACTCACAAAAAATCCCTAGTTTTCACATCCAATTACACGACCTCACTGTGTAATTTGCAACTGACGAAACAGCTTTTGAACAACATTTCAGCAATCGTGGATTACTCCTCAAGATTGACTAGTGGCGCAGATCCAGAGACGGGGGATTCGAGGATGGCTGTCGATCAATAAAATCGACATAGCCAGGCATCGATTCCCGTTCTGCATTGTTTGGACTCCTCTCCCTGTCCTTACGTGAGCTCTTTATTTCTGTGTCACTATTCCGTTGTCACGACTCCAAATTTCGAAATTTTCCCCTGAAAATTCGTCTGTAGAGATTGTCCTGTACCCTGATCGCGGATATTAATTGGTTTTTAGCGCTGGCTTCCTTTTAGCGCCACCACGTTTTCACCAGAAGCCATAACAAAACTTCTAACAGGGTTGCTAAATGTCGTGATCGCTAATAAGCCATTTATTTTTATTTGTTATACCACCATTATTATTATACCATTTATTTATACCACCGCCGTTTGGCGCTCTGCTATGCCCAGGAGCAGAAGTGGTTCTCCTCCCGCAAGCTCAGCTATGGGAGAGCGCGGATGATCAGAGTGCCTCATTTATCGCTGGCGCCGAGAATGAATGCCATCTTTAATCGGAATGTCAAATAACTTTAGTACGCAAGTTTGTACAATATTTGGTGTCAAATAGCGCCAGCGCCAAAGTGGATGTTTTCGTGATCAGGGCACCTACACTCCTTGTCCCTGGGACGGAGTGGGCGTGGCATTTGAGCATGGCATAGAACGGGTTACTCGTTGGCGTTTCAGAATGGGAAAAGTGTCATCTTGGTCAGTGTTGGACAGAGACATTGCTGCAACTGAGTCAAAATGAGAATACGTAACCAAAGGCACAGCCACCGCCACGTTAGGTTGAAGCGTTTATATATTTTATTTATTTATGGGCATGTATTGTTGCAAGTAATTTGAAAACGTAAACGTTTAAAAAAAGTATGCAGCCACGTCTACTCCATTTCAGGGATTTCGAGGTTACTAACCTATAGGTTTCACTTAAAAGTTTTTTGAGTTTTTTTTTGGAGTCGCCATAACAGAATGGTCTGATTCTTCTTTGAAACATTGGTTGAATCAAGGCCCTCTCATGTTTAAGATGGATATTCCCTTTGATTGGCCATATGGGAATAGCCACAAGCAAGGGAATCATTCGAGATTTCTCCGGAAGCTACTGCGTCACGGTTAGTGCTGTTTTGCAAATCTTCACAAGTTGTTAGGCCATGCTTATACATTGCGACATTGGAGAAGAGGCGAATGCGTGCCAAAGGGAAGGGCAGCTGTAGGGCTGGCGAATCGGCGGACTTGGGGAATTAGAGAAGGCAAGCCAAAAGAATGGATGGGATCAATCAGCTACCATTCTCCAATTCTCTGGATTCTCTTTCTCCGATTGTTTCCTCCTCCCAGTTTGCCAAGCCTTTAATTTTTCCTTGGCACGCGTTCTACTATTCTCCAATTTTGCAAATTGTGTACATCTACAACATTCTGCACACAGCGCTGTTAATGGTTTTCTTCCAGGAGGATGATATGGGTTTTGACTGGCCAACCATGTATTGGCAATTGTCTGCTGATGCTGTTGAAGGGGGTGCAGAGGCCTACGACAGAGCCATCAGGGAAGCATCTGATGAATACAAAGGCAGAATGGTGAGAACTAGCTTTTTCTGGTAGCAATTGCCAAAGCTTCTTTCCCCAATGGTATTTACAACGTTGTTCTGTTGTCAAGAGCCACACCTCTCGTTCATAAATGCTGTGTTGTGCGGCTCGAACACTAGTGTCAAGACCACCCCATATATATATAATTCGCTTTGTCTGTTTGTTTGTTTGTTTGTAAGTTTGTAAGTTTGTCTGTCCGGAAATTCGGTTCGACCTGAAGAACGACTTGGAGAGGTCCAGTCAAGGTGGGGATAGGTAGGGCATGGGACAAGAAATAAAAAGCACACTTGACCTATGGCAAGCCCCGCCCACAGTGGGCGGGGCACTCGCCGAAAGTTTGGGGTTCCGCAGAAAAAGAGC